TTATTTCGGGCATGTTTCTCCGCCCCGAGAGGCGCTGAGTTCGGGGCTCACTGTGACGACGGGCTGTGGCGCCACACGCGGGAGAACGGGCACCCGGTCCGGCCCTTACCCGTAGAACGCGAACAGTCGGACCTGGGCGTCAGAGCCCGGCGGGTGTGTGTTTCAGCCCCTCCGCATGGCCCCGCGCCCCGCGCCCTGAGAGCCACCCATGGACCTGGGAGCCAAAGACGAAGAGGAGGAGAGTCTGCAAACGGCTTTCAAAAAGCTTGGCGGGGTAAGCGTCACAGTTGTCGGTTTCTTGTTACATATTGCTGTTCGGTTTCTGTTCTTTTTAATCTTGAAATAAGTCGTTTGGTGAAGAGTGCCCAAGAAGAGACACCTGTGTTGCTTCCCATGAAACGCAGACGTTCTCGCTCTCCAGTAGGCAAGGCAGTGCCTCGTTACTGACTAATTTTGCCACAGTGTCCAACTGACGTCGCACAGTGACTATGTGCAAGCGTGAAACAACTCACCCAAACCAGGGAACCCACTCTTACTTGTCGTGGTAGCTGTAGTCGCCTCGTGTGATACAGAACTTGTTTGTCCCTTCATGTAATGCTGGTGTCTTCAGCCACATTACCAGCCGTTACTGCAGCGCATGAAGATTTGCTCGGAGAGCATCTGGAGGACAGCACCATCACCTCGGAGTGCACTGGAGAGCCCAGTCTCACTGGAAATTGTCAGGCCAAATACGAGCACTGATCGTTTCTGATTTTGGGGAATTCTGTAGTCTGAGATGACTGCAGACTAAAAACTTACCGGTATATCCAGTGTGCTGTGGAATAATATGTAGTATAAGCATCTTCTTGGAAAGTAGGAGTTAATCAGCTCATGCAGTCTAACACTTTATGAGTTAGTTCATTGGAAGTCTTCTGAGGATTCAGACACAAGAGGAAGCTTTGTATTGGTAACTAATCATTCCTTGTGAGTTTATCTCCACGGAGTACTGTGAACTCATGGCTTCCTCTGCATGTTAAAATACATTTTGCTTTGCTACTCATTTCCCCTGCTTCAGAAAGTTTTCTGTTAAATGTGGAAAAAAATAGCTGTGCTTATTAAGCATAGTACTTTTGATATATTACCAGTGACAGACTGTGTGAAATTCTTGTTGATTCCCGGATGACATCTGTTTAGACGTAAAAAGATTTTGTTTTGCAGGCATGTGTTTTGAACAGCTCGAGTCTTGTGACCAATTGCTTAAGATCAACTTTGGACAGAGCACTTGGGCTCTTCTTGCTAGAGTTTCAGCCTCATTTCTAACAATTTCGTATTTACAGATCACATGTACAGCCATCATAAATACAGATTCATGTGCTGAGGCATTTATGTTTGTTGTCTGGACCACCAGGGCTGGATTTCTTTTTTCATTCCATATTTATCTGAGAAATTTAGAAAGAAATTAGTAATCTGTGGTTGTCTATTTTACCTCATCCACTTCTCTACTGACTCCTCAGCCTGCTGCTGTGAGTTTCTCATTTACGTTTTAGATGAGTAGGAGTCTATCTTTAACAACTATTGTTTGACAAGAGCATTTGGACCCTGAGTTCACATTCCTTTCATGTGTCATGTTGGTACTAATAAAGCTTGACATCAGCCTCTGGGCATTTTGGCCTCCTTTCATTTCATCTCACCTATCTTTAGACACTTACTGATGTCAGTAGAGTAAGAGCGATTAGATAAATCTCAGTAATATCCTGTTTCTAACCACTGGCTATAGGGGAGCTCGGGGTCCAAACCTGAATGTCTTAGCTAAGCACCTAAAGTGAACAGGCGGAATCTAGACCTCTGAAGCTGCATGTGCAGGCGTTACTGTAACGTGGCATTTCCCTTTTTACTCAGATGTATTGCAGCGCTGTGTGTGGGCGACGGGACGGTTCTCAGAACACCCATAAGAGCAGCTGTGGATGGAGCCAAGCAACAGACTGTCTGCTCGAAGGAAACGTGGCATGGGTAAAACACATCGCTCACCGCACCACGCATGCGGTTCTGGTTTGGGACATTTAACACTTCTGCACTGTTTTCAGTGAAAGCTGTTAATTGGTTGCTTCAACATATCTGTTCTTTCCTTTCTATTACAAACCTATACCATAACTGCTTGATACAATGGTTTTTAAGGAGCTTTCATCAGAAGACTTTTAAAACAGGATTTCCTCTTCTCTTAGAGAGGGTAGCTAAAATGTTCTTTTCCACTGTTTTCCTCAGAAGTCCTTGTCAAGTCTTATACCTCTGAGAACCCCCAGTCACCTCTTTCTTGGGTTATTTTATTGCTGTAAGAGGTACGTGGATATTCAGTGCAATTCTGCCAGAAGCTCCAACTGATATCCAGGTTCTGTGCTACGGTTCAGTTTGGGCAGACAAAATATCATTTGCTTAACACAGAAGTTTCGGAGCAAAGTGCCTTTGAAATAGGGCTGGTTTTTGAGTCTTTCCTTTGGGGGAGCCCCAATTTGTACAGACTCCTCCACTCTTCTGTCAGAGGTATAAGCGACCAGTCATGATTTTTCTAAGTAGAAAATGTTCTGAAACACTTTTAGCTCTATTTTAGTGCTTATTGAGCTGTGGGGTAGATTCTGGAGTTACCTACTTGCTCACCTTTTGCAACCCTGCAGGAGCATGAGAAAGCCTTCCAGAGGATCGGCACGAGTCCCACGTCGCAGGCGCTCCAAGTCTCCCGTCCTGCACCCTCCGAAGTTTACGTATTGCAACATGAAAGCCAACAGCCAGCTGAAACACAGAGCCCAGGCAGACACGTCGAAGAGTAGCGTCAGTTCAGGCGTTTTTGTTACAGCAGAACACGGTACGAAGGACAGGCACAATTCTCACTTCAGGGCCAGTGATGACCGAACTGAACCTTTGGAAGCTTTCACCCTCAAAGAGCCTCTGGAGAAGTCAAGAGAGAATTGCCCTACTCTGCCCTCATCCTTTGAAACTAGCTTGCACTCTGGCCGAAACTCAGATTTCCAGTCCTTATCCATGCTCAGCAACGGCAAGCAGTGCCCTTGTACGGACAAGACATGCCAGTGCAAGCAGTGGCGAACCATGGAGGTGTACTCTTTCTCTGGCTTGCGGAGCGTCCTGTCGGAATGTGAAAAAGCAATCCTGGGAGTCCACGCCCAGTCTCTGCAGAATAGATCCCCTTGTGGGACAGCCTCGTCGGGCTCCCCTAGATCTTGTTCTGAGCAAGCTCGAGCCTTTATGGATGATGTGACTATAGAAGATCTGTCAGGATACCTGGAATACTACTTATATATTCCCAAGAAAATGTCTTACATGGCAGAAATGATGTATACTTGACTGAAAGCAATAAAGAATGCTGAATCAGAGTTTGTGGTAATGGTTGGGTTAAACGCTTTGTCAGTGCCATGTTTTCACTGTTGTGTGTTTGATCAACTGTTTCTTTGCCTCACACAGTTTAGTTCTCTAATAAAATGAAAAGTGGAATAGTTTCTGAGCTTAGTTCTAAAAAGAATGCACTAAAGTCTCTGAATACCTTAACAAAAGCACTGTAGATCCAACAAACTCCCTTTGTTTATCATTTTGTGCTGTGGATATTCAAGCTCTGTATGCTGTTTTCACTTTGCTTTTTGGGAGCGGGAGGGGGAGTGGGGGAAGCCTTTTAGGTTTTGTTCTGAATTTTTGCAGTGTTTGGAAGGTTCATCTTTAACATGTCCTAATACTTTGAGAAATGTTTCATAGCTACAGCTTTATCTTCATTCTGCTCTAGAGAGAAGAATGAGAAGGCATTCAGTATTTTGGATAGGATGATCTCCTTTCCTTGAACACCATCTGGCTTCTTTTTAGTTGGATCAAATAGTTAATGCTTCCTCCTCACAACTTTGTTGGGAGGTCCAGACTGTGTGGTTGTATGCTTGGACCCTTTCATAATCTAACTAGCTCACTCTTAAGCAGTTCTATTTTTCTGCAGATAAGTGAAGCTCTTAGAAGGAGAAATATATTTTGTTATTTGTGCTTTACAGATGGAATAATTTAGGGGAGAGTGATGCAGGCTAATGGGTTTTTCGGGCCATGCTGCCTCAGAAGTGGAGATGGTGGAGACATCTACACGGATTGTTTCCGCGTGTGTTTGATACACAAAACAGCATGGAAGTTGGGTAAACCAGGATTGTGTATCATATTGACCTTGTTGTGTAGAGCTATAACATTCCTTCTGGTTGAAAATATTGAAATAAAAAATTTTGTTGCTGAGACTTTTGTTAGCAAATGTTTGTCAAAACACAGAAAATTAAAGACTGAATAATTTGACTTTCACTCACCTCCTCTCACTATGTTGTTTTTTACTAAAACCTCTGCTTTCAGTGTCAGCTGTACACACATGCTAAACAACCATTTGAGTAAAATACTGCAATTTTTACTTGCACGTTTAACAAAAAATAAAAAAAATCGATATTCAGCAACCCAAGTAGTCGCCAGCAGTTGTATAAAAATAGATTATAGCAGATGTAGACAACTGTACTTGTGTTCTGTGCTAGAGAACTCTCAGACATTCTAGATGATAATCACTGTACATTTTATTCTAATCATCCCTAAAATTTACACTGAATCCAGGAAGTTCAGATTTAAAGTTCGAATAAATCCAAGTAAGTTAACAAGAATACAACTAGAACTGTTATTTTGCTCTTAAGTGTCACACAGTTATTTAGCATGAAATATTGGCTTGTATTCTCAAACTAAATTTAATCGATTACTAGATTTTTCTCAGAGAGCAAGTTCTCCAGACATTTCCATAGTGTCCTATGCGGGACAGAAGTAACTAGTGGTGAGGGGGAAAGAAAGGGGTAAAAAGGCAGTAACTCAATGGGCTTGTATCCTGCCTGAATTGCCATTTGTGCTAGTGTTCAAGCACATCTAGTGCTGCCTGCGGCAGAGGAAGGGCAGATATTTGGGGTTCTTGACTGCAACTGTCAGGCTTGTAGCAAACGTACTGAAACATCACTGATGAAATCCACATCGCTCAAACCATCTCCTCTGGGTGAAAAGACAAGCTCTAAGAGATGCCCCAAGCTCAAACTTCCTGCTCCCTTCAAAGCTTCCCAGTTCAGCTCACGCACTTCACTCCTCTGATAACTTGGTGCTTGTTGCCTGCCTGAAACCTCAAGGGCTACTAAGACACGGCACCTTCTCAGCACCATTGCCTTCATGGATGGGCACCAGCGCTCAGCATCAGAGGTGGCCTGGTACCAGTAGCCTTACAGTACCTGGTACCTGCTGCTCTGCCTGCCCCAACAAGCCTGAGAAATTTCTTCTGTTTACGGATGCTCCAGGATGTGTCCCCAGTCAATCTAGAGAAGAATGTGTCTAAAATATCCTGAGAAAGGACTGGTGGGCTTGCAGCACTCCCAGGATTTTCCTTGGAGTGGATCCCACCTCTCTACTTCCTGTCTCAGCAGATCCAGGCTGGTTTATTTTTACCAGTGGCTTTCCCCCATCCCCAGAACTTTACAAGCTACTTGCCTGTCTAGTTTCAGGACTAGTTCAATTAAAGCAGGATGCAGAAGGGCATCCTGGATCAATGACATTTATTTCTCACCTTACAGAAGCTAAGCTGAGCCCTGGCTAAGCTTTACACTGGCAGATGCTGAATCAGACCACTGGAGAAAAAACATAAAAATCAATGGAGCTGTTCCACAGCCTGATTATCAACCTGTTCTAAAACAGGGAAGACGCTTCTGCAAAGGCCCCTCACTGACTCCAGCCACCTGCTCTGTCCCCTCTGTAACAGTTGCATCACCTCTGAAAGGAGACACCCCAGATTGAGTATTTCCAAACCGCCCACACCCACAATCCTGCCTCTCATTGGCACCTTCTGCTGATGCCACCAAGTCTGGCTGCACAGCATCCCACGGGACAGCCCAGCATCGAGCCCTTTGGCAGACAAGGAAGGCTGGGGACAAGAGCTGGGGGATGATCTCAAGGTCATACAAGGTCAGGGCATGCCTAAAGGGGGCTGGCACCCATCCTGTCCCTCAAGCCTCGCTCACTTCAACATGCCAAAACTCAGCTAAATAAATGACTCCAGAGACACCGCATATCTGCAGGACCCAGAGGGATGAAGCAACTTGTCATTTTTTTTATTCCCAACGGTGCAGCATTAATTCATCTCAAAATATGCCACTAGAGGGGGCTTCCTGGACAGCAACCACAGGAGAGAACCACTTCTGCTTGGTCCAGCTGCTCCTTTCTTTTTCTAAACCCAAAGGAGTCTCCTTCCAGTGAAAGGAGCCCCCAAAGACGCTTCTTGGGCAGTGGGGGCTCTCCTGCACGGAGCAGGTGGGAGGGGAGGCTGCACAGCAAAGGGGAGGACAGTACTGTGTGGCGGGACCACCTCTTTAAACCTCGGTTTTCCCTGAGTTTGCAGCAACACAGGCCACTGCCCTGACTTGGCATCCCCAAGGAAGAGGCCAAACAAGGGCCTTTCCCTATGGGTGTCCCCGGGGTCAGCGCTTGGGAAGCCCTAGGCTGGGAAGGGAGGATGGTTTTAGAAGCTGCTACCTAAGGTAGAGAAGGCAGGGAGGAGGCAGGGCAGGGTATAGTGCTCCCCATCCTCAGCCCTCCACCAACACCCTCCTGCACACCCTCAGGAGCAGGACATCACAACACCAAAGGTTTCATTTTCACTTCCCAGTCACCAGAAAATTGCTCCTTTCACTATGTTCACGCAGCAGGGTACCGATTTAGCTCCACTCTCTCCCAGTGCTCCTGGGGGCAACATGCCTCAGTTTCCCCACCTGAGCAAGCTCTCCCTCACCTGCTTCCAACCTCACCAGCGCCAGCACCAGTGGAGACAGGAGCAACACGAGGAGTAGCTGGGTGTGCATCCACAGCCCTCTCGCAGCCCCATGATGCGAGCTGGCTCCCTGCACCTGCAGAGCCCTTGACTCCATCCTCTCCAGAACTTGCCCCTACCACTGCTATAACTGGGCTGGTTTTACCCCCCTGGCACAGGCAGCTGGTCCTGTGTGTGTGAAATTATCTCCAAACTGCCAGATTGTCAGAGATAGAGCGTGACGAAGCCAAGTGTCATAAAACACAAGCCCAGATGTCCATCCAGGTCACTGTGTCCAGAAAGGTGTCAGTGGCCTGTATGTGTTCGCCTGCAAACTTCTGGGTGATGCTCATATAACCTGGAGAGCAGCAGCTCCTGGAGCTCCCTGAGCAGTGGAAACCCGGCCGGTTTGCTACTGTGACACACCCTGCTAATTCTGGAAATGACACTCAACCGCACCTGCTTTGGTGCAGGAGGGTTTGTCGTGTTTGTCCCAGCACCCCAGGGCTCTGGTACACAGTGAAGGCTCCTGGGTTCTACCCCAGTGCAAGCTACCTAACGCCCATTCAGCAGTAATTAATCTGTGCTCTCCAAAAATCACGGAACACCTTTAAAGAGCCATTGCTGCTTCTGTTCGTGAAGGTTGCAAAGCAGCCAAGACACCTCCTAGACATTTTAAAGACAGTATCCATCAATTCAGCTATTTATTACATGTCTGCCAAATCTAAACCAGTCAAAAAAAGATCTTAATCTCTGCTGCAAAATATTCCTAAGGAGCCGCAGGGGTTAGAGCTGCCCCGGATTGTCGACTAGGCAGCTGGAGCGTCCGCTGCTGACTCGCCTCCTATTGAAGCGATGCCTGCACGTTTCCGTGGGAGCCCCGCCACAAGCGATCTCACCCTCGCCCCCATCCCCCTCTCCTGTGACCCCCGCCAGGCACCCACAGCCCCGATCTGCCCAGCCCGGGCAGGATGATGGAGCTGCCCCAGGAGTGATGCTGCTGGCAGGAGCCCATGTGATGCTGGGCTAGCGCCGCTCGCTCGCTGCCTCGTCCCTCTCCCTGCTCACAGGCTGTCATGGCGACTCCCAATAACGTTACTCCCACCAACTGCAGCTGGTGGCCCATCTCGGCGCTGGAGAACAACGCAGGGAAATCCACGGAGGGGGAGGAAAACCAGGACCCGACAGACCCTGCTCTCAAATCCCAGGACAGACTGGTTTTGTACCACTGGACCCAGTCCTTCAGCTCGCAGAAGGTAAAAAAATAATAATAAATAATTGCTCAGCCGGCTTCCCAGAATCACCTCCCACCCCCAGGACATCCTCTTGCCTGGGGAGGGTGGATGCACTGGTGGGGAGAGCAAAGGGCTGGTCCCCAGGGCTGGTGAGGGCGGCGTCATGCACGCGTGCAGCTCCTTTGTACCTGCAGTTCTGTGCTTTTACGGCGTTTATCTGTCTCGGGAGGGAATGGGGGGGCTCTGCCAAATCCTGCTTTGCTTTGGGATGGTGG